CTCCCTCCCCAGCAGCTGTGGGGCATGGGAGCCTTCCAGCTTTCTCCTACACTGCATGCACTGCAGGTTCTGCTCTGAATCCATGGGGTTGGCAGAGTCTCTTCTCCTACTACGGAGTATCCAACAGAAAGAGTGGGAAAAATAATCACCCTGTGGACTATTATTTTGTCATTTCAATCCTGACACTTGCTACAAGTTTCCTACCTCCTTTTCTGCAATTTTTTTTCAAGTTCTGGCAGAAAGTTCAATCCCCCAAAAGCGCGTGAGGACAAAGGCTGCAGCTGGGCAACAGGAAGGGTTCATTCAGCCCAAAAGATGTCAAACTATGTTATAGAGGAATTCCACAGCAACGGGGGAAAAACACAGCCCAGAATTCACCCTGGTGAGGAAGGTGCCCCTGAAGCCCACGTCAGGACCTGGGCTGTATGTGTCATGCTCAACCCAACAGGTAGTACGGGAAAATCTGAAAATTGAAAGCCCTTTTTTTTTTCTTTGCTTTTTTGGTTGATTACATCTTTCAGAAAATTCCCCTTCAGGAAGTAGTGCTAGAGTCAGTGAAGCTTCGAGTTTAGAAGTACGAACGTAATGCAGGTTAGCAGCATTTTCCTTTGCCTGCTCTCCCCCCACCCTCCCCCTCTGGCACTGCTGCTTTTTCAGGGGATGGCTGAGCGAGCGTAACTGCTAGGAAGTCCCATTCACTCTCTTATCTGCCAGTGGTTTCCCGAGTGATGACTGGGGCCACCCTCGCTCTGGTGACTTGCAGTTTCAGAAAATTCAGGTAGAAATAATCCTCCCCTCAAGGGCTGTTTGTGGCACTACCCTCTGAGGCACCTGCTGCCAAGGCCGCTGCAGTCCGACCACCTCGAAGCATCCAACCAGGGTGTTCTTCTTCATGATGAAGAAGCAGAGCTGGGGTACTGCTGGGTTTTATCCTTCTTGGTGCAGATGTCCAGGTCCTTTAGCACGTGGTGGCAGGATTCAAGGTGAGGGGAGCCAAGGAAGGAGCCCCAGCAGGGCCCCCGTGGCCACGCTTCACCTTCCCTGTGGGCAAAGGGTCCTGGGGCCACCTCTGTCTGTGGCTAACCAGCCCCAGGCCCTTCCTGGGAGGAAGGCATCCTGCAGTCTTCTCAGGCTCATTCCTGTATTTGCCAGAGATAGATGTGCTGATGTTACACAGACCAACTTCTTGTTCCATATTCTTCCTCTGAAATAGAGCTTGGGTCACAGGCTGCCTGCTAAGGAGGTTCAGCTGATCACTGCTGGCTTGCAGGGGTTCCAAGTCCAGCTTCTGCTTGGGGACTTGGACCCAGAGGTGGAACACTGAGGGTGGTGAGCCCCTGGCCCAGGTTGCCCAGAGAGGTGGTCACTGCCCCATCCCTGGAACCATCCCAGGGGAGGTTGGACCAAACTCTGAGCACCCTGCTCTAGCTGGAGCTTTAAAGGTTGCTTCCAACACCCTTGTGTCACCCGTTCACTCTTTCATCCAGCTCAATGGGACTTCTCTTTATTCTACAGAAAACTCTGAACACATTGTGACAATTCTGTCTTTGAACAGCCAGAATCATGTTCCTTTGTAGACACAGCAGAAGTTCTCTCTCTGAAGCTGGTGAATTTGGGGCAGACTAGGTGGGTTGCTATGAACACGCCTCAACCAGAGCAACACAAACCTGTCCCAGATGATACAGTGGTGGAGAGCAGGCTCCAGGTTATGGACAGAGCTGCAGCTGTTCCAGAGAATCTGCATCTCCTCAACAACACAGAGGCAAAGAACAGCACCATTTTATTTTGACTTCTAAAGAGTTAAATACATCTAAAAGTTTACTGTGTTGTGGTCATTTAAATTCTTCCAAATCGTGTGGATTCTTAAACCCAGGCACAGAAACATGTGGAAAGATATGAAGTTTAAAAGTCTAATAGTTTCAGGTTTTGGCTAAAAGTATTACAACTGTATTTTCAGATGCCTTAATTTGAGCTCTGTCAACTCAGGCAGCTAAGCCAGTGTATAGTAGTTAATTACTTGAAATTCTAATGAACATACGAGCCCAGGGAGCTGACGCTGCACTTCATGATCTCAGAGCACTGGTCAATGTTCTTCTTTATCCTGTAGAAGGTTTCCACGTATTCAGAACGGCCCAGAAGCTCAACAAAATCTTCATCATGAGTGATCACCAGAAGCTGGAAGTTTCTCTGCTGGGAGCGGCTTTTGATTATCCTGCAAAGAGATGTTAATTAGTGTGTGCTCAGCTGAATGGCACTGGAGGTTTTCAGAACTTGTAAATATGTAGTACAAAAATATTTAATTCTTGGTAATGAATGACATGAACTGTCAAGAAATCCAATGGGAATTAGCAACCCTCTTTACCCACATCAAAAATCCCAGATGAGTTAAGAAATCCTTTCCTCTTCCAGAGAGAGGAGAGGGAATCTAAGGCTACTGCTTTGCAGGTGTATTTGCAGATGCCTACAGCAATATACCAGCTTAAAGCAGAAGTAATTTCTGCCAACTAGCATAAACATTTGAAAAACACCCATCCTGAAGCTTCCCAAGAGGACATCACTTACTCCACCAGGGCATGTGCCAGGGACTCGATGTTTTCTCGGTCCAGGTTGGTCGTGGGCTCATCCAGAGCCAGGATGCCACAGTTGAGACAGAATGTTTCTGCTAGAGCCAGACGAATAATAAGAGAAGCAAGCACCTAAGGGGGAAAAAAATAAACACCAACAAACCCTCACTCTTGGAAGTGTTTCTGGAGAAACTACACATAACAGGCTTTTTCTAATGCTGTAACAAACCACACCTGAAGTTTATAGAAGGATGCACTGATAGTTCACAAAATTAAAAACTACATTAAAACTCCAAGCTGGAATGAAGAGATCCACTCTACAAAGTACTGCTGGAAAAACACCAGAGAAGCCAAACACTCCAAGAGACACTGGAAGTGGGGACTCCAACGGGAGGTCAGGAGGCCACGACGCTGTGGGCTCCTCACCCCCACCCCTCTGTTCAAGCCCCACCCCACGGCTGCAGGGATGGTGGAAATTCATACCTGTAGCCCCACCACGGAGTTCCTGAGCTCCTGACTACTTACCAAACCTGGAGACAGCAGGATTCACCACCTCACCAGTTCGTTTTGTAGTCACCTGCCTAACCAAGTTGTCATTACACCTCCTGAACCAGTGAAAACGACGGAACACTCGATGGAAACTGAGCTGCCAAAAATACTTTCCAATTATCACAACTGCTGGCATCACAGCTCACAATCAAAAGAAGAATTCTCAGAATGGAAGTTAACAAACTGCACAAGTTTCACTCTCGTTTACATAGGACTCTAACGTAACATCCTAGACGGCTTCAGGAGAGGACACAGTTTTTGCCTATACTGCTGTTTTAGATGAAGATTTGGATTTCCCCCCCCAAGTTATGGAATTTTCAAAACCAAGTGCATGTCTAGGCTCAGGTGGGAATTAATTTGACAGCATTTTTCATATTCAAGCAACAGCACAGCACTCATCCCCTCACAGAATATCCTCTCACGATCCCACTGCTGTGTGCATTTCCAAACGGGGTGTAGCATTTTGTTCCACTCCTTGAGTTCATCCTCTGCCTCTACCCCAAGAGCAGCTTGGGCTGTAGTTTGGTCCCTTTCTACTCCCTCTGTGTTTAGGAAGATTGCTTGCTCTGATGGAAGTGGTTCCTCTAAGGAAGAAGCTGTTTCCTGCAGGTAGCTTTGGTTGCCCAAGCTGCAGAATCAATATGCCCAGTGTCAAATGGCTGCTCGTGTTGCTCAGAACTTCAAGGGGCCTACAGGAAAGCTGGGGATGATCTTTTGAGCAAGGCCTGTTGGGACAGGACAAGGGGGGATGGTTTGGAACTAAAAGAGGGAGATTTAGACCAGATAGATTTAGACCAGACATTTTTCACACCAAGGGTGGTGAGCCCCTGGCCCAGGCTGCCCAGAGAGGTGGTCACTGCCCCATCCCTGGAACCATCCCAGGGGAGGTTGGGGCTCTGAGCACCCTGCTCTAGCTGGGGATGTCCCTGTCCCTGCAGGGGGTTGGACCAGATGACCCTTACAGGTCTATTCCAACCAACACCATTCTATGATTATGTTTTTTTCCCATGCCTCAGCTCTTTAAAACAAAAAATACAGACTGCTTTTGGAGGCAGATTAACAAGGCTGGTTCTTTTCTCTGGCTTAAAAATATTTTAGATGCTTTGTCATAACATAACAGGCAGGTGGAAACAATAACTCTCAAGGCTCAACAAGTGAAAGTGGTGTGGTGAACTGTGATGAACCCCTGTGTGCTGGCACTGCCCAGGCAGGTGTGGGATCAGCCACTTGGCCAGTGTGTGTTATTGCCAGAGGGCAGAGCCCAGAGCTGACAGGGACAAGACAGAAGGTGACACCTGAACGTGTGGCACGGTGGGTAAGTGGTGGCATGAACTGAGAGGTTACACTCAGCAGCAGAGTACTGAAACTTGGAGGAAAAAAGAGGCTGTATCACACTCAGAGGCTGATGCAGTTGTGAAAAGAAGACCAAGGGCCAGTCCTCTGGAAGGAAAACAAAATGGGAGCAATTCAATAGTCCTGAAACTTATGGAAGCTTCAGTGGAAACTAGCAAGAGACAGACTGGGAGGACTGGGACTTGAAGGGAGAGGGAAGTTGAACCCTTTACTCCTTAGGGACTCAGCCTGGTCCTTAACTGAAAGAATGGATTTTGGCATGCCAAAATAGGGTTCAGATGCTCAGAACCATATGCTGCACAGTCAGCAACCCCCAGGCTGTGAGGGAAGGCTGCACAGAACTGTCCAGTTGAGCTGGGGCCCCCTGGCCCTCAGGGGCTCCTCAGGACACGTTACTCTCTTGCATTCACCTCAGTCAGATTTCCAAATCCTGTTTATTAAAAATCCAGCCTGTTACCTTTTGCCCAGCACTACATCTTCCTCTCATATCCAGGGCTGTGTCTCCCTTGATCATGACCACCCTGTAATTGTAACTTCTTCTCTTGTCAGAGGCTGAGACGTTCTCGTCTGCGTCCGAGCGAATCTCTATATAATCAATATCTGAAAGATATCAGGAGACAGGCTTTGCAGGAATCAAAAAATCTTTCAGAGTATCAGAGGATTAACAGGAGTTGAGAAGTGTAATGTGCAGTAACCACAACAATTTTATTCAGAACTCCCACTAATAGATACAACTTTGAAGCTAGTTTTTCCAATATAGAAAGAATGAACTCATGCAGTCGCCCTGTCTCAAGGAAACCTTACCTTGGAAAAACAGGGAAAAGGGGAAATTATCTACCCTGTAACATCCTACATAATGTGTAATAATAAGATTATAGTGGTGAACAAGAGGTGTAGACTTTAGAAGGGAACCAACTCCCTTCAGATCCTGGATTTTCCATATTTTGAACCCTCAAACTGAAAAAAAAACCCAGTTACCTACCTTGTCCTCTGTAGGTGCTTCGCCAAAGGTCACGGATTATTTTGTTGATTTCTTCCATCTTCATGCTATGAAATGTCATTATTGCTCTAAAGAGGAGCAACAAAAAAATGCAAATTGTTACAGGTGCAACCGTGGACTGCTGTGGACCTACAGGAGCTTTGAGGAAGGTGGCAATAGCAGATGATTCCTTAAGGAAGCATTCCAGAAAGGACAGGATGCCACATTTCTAACCTGGAGTTTTGAACAAAAAGTACTCTGGAATGAAAAAATGCTTGCTCAATTTATGCCAATGTCTTCTCTCCAAAAAGTATGGTGGAAATAAAACATACTTCTCAAATGGACTTGTACATGTGCCTTTCCTACATCCCCTCTCACTGGAACTATTCCCACCTGTTCTGGGGAATACTGAAGTATCAACCAACAGGATTTGTTCAGTCTGAAGAAAATGCTTTCAAACTGTTTACTTAATTGAACCCAAGAATGCACTCCTCATCAATATTTATCAAAACTTCTAAATATTAAGTCAGTATAGATCAGCTGACAGCACAGAACACCCAAAATGTTGGTTTTCCCAGCTACAGATACAGCTTTCAACCTCTGGCCATTAGAGTTAGCATTTTGTCTCACTGATTTTTCAGAAGATTACCAATAAGTGATGCTTATCTATTTTTCTTGAAATTACAAGACTGATTTCCTGTTTTGCCTTAAATAGAAACAATAGATGATTTGATATCATACATAAAGATTCTGCATTCTAAAAGGGAAATTCTTGGAATGCATTTCCATTTTAAGCTGAAAGGGAAGAATTATACATGCTCTGAATGCTTTAGATCATCACAAAATAAATGCTGGATTTGCTTGCATGCAGTATTATGTTTAATTTCATTTATTTTATCATTAAAATAGGGTTCCTCTAGACTGCCTTTTCAATTTGGAAACTTCTCATCTGTTTAGTTTCTCTTCTTGACCATTACACTGTACCCTCAACCACGTTACTGCTCTTCTGTGCTCCTTCCAGCACTCTTTAGTACAGGAGACCAAAATTCCACACTATATTCAAGACATGAGTGCACTGGGAATTCATACAGTAGCTACAATGTCCCTTTCTTTCTCTTTAGTAACTGCCCACACAGGGGTTTTGTTTTTTTTTTTTTTGGGAGCCCCAAAGTAAAAACTTTAAATGTTTTCACATTTTGAGATGTTATTTTTAGCCAGTCAGTCCAAGACTAGAAAACAAGCCTCTAGAGGAAGGAGAAACAATCACCAAGTTTACTACTTTCCATCAAATGCAAGATGTTTCTTTTGATCTTGCCTTCTCTAATAGAAGCACAAAACCACCCACACTGGAAAAAGGGAAAGAACACCTCTAGAGTGTAAAACTCTTTAATGAAAACAGAACTGTTTACCTGAGAAGATCATGGGGAACAAGAGATCTACCTAGCATATCTTATTCACATTAAGATGGGACCAGAAGATGCTAAAATATACTGCCACAGAAATGATGGTGGTAGGAGAGACTGCATGAAAGACCTGGATTAATAACAAAGGATTTAAACACAGATTTTGCCTCTTCTGAACTCATACTTTGGAGTTTATCTATTTTGAGATAGCACGAGACAGACTTTTAAGAAACATTCTCCCCAATATCCACTGCCTAGCCTGTAAACTGCCCTCTAATTCCCTCAAAACCAAAGCCCACCAAAACTACAGGAAGAAAAGAAACCCATCAGCAGTTTTTACAAAAGCTCCCTAAAAATGCCTTGAAGTGACTTACCTATGAGTGGATTAAACTCCAGTTATTACCAGCACTGTATTTATCTATATTATGTAAACTCCCCCATCCTACCAATCTTGTGCAGCTTGTAGTATATTACTATTAATTTACTTTAAAAACTGTAGTGTGTTATGTTATCTTAACATCTAAATGCCTGCTTTTATACAGAGAAATAATGACCTCTCTCAAAGAATTCCAGGAACTCACTAAGTTACCCTGGAAAGTGTGAAATGAAAAGCTGCTTTTGCACCCCGGTTACCAACAGTAATAAAAAACTAAAACATTGAAGACGTTCATTACATGCAACAATACTTACTTATCAAGAGCCTTATAATAAAGGTCCAGGTCTTTGTTTGCCAGCTCTGTGGTTCTCATGACAATCATCATCTCCCTGTGTTTCTCCTCTGCATCCCTGAACTGGGGCTCTCGAAGCTCCCGTTTAAACCGAACGATCTCCTCCTCAAAGCCCCGCTGGCGGCCGAGTGCAAGGTGGTGGTTCCTTTTCAGAGATTCTATTCTCTCCTCTAAATTGTTTTTTTCACTGTGAAACCATAATGGAGACCTAAGTCTTTCACATTTCATGGGTCACAAGTTTTTTGAATAAGGGTGGTCAGGTTCTGGTTAGACAGGAGCTCATTATATTGCAACTAGTCTGTAACTGTTAAAATCATAGTGCTATCACTGAAATTAAGACATTAATGAAATAATACTTTAAAGTTTGTTATGAACATATTCAAATCCCTATTCTGAGTGGGAGAAGCAAGTTACCAAGTTCAAATGCCAGAGTACTACACTCAGAAACACAAAAAATTACATAGATGGAGTTGAATTAGGATAGTGAGCAAGGTAAAATGAATTCACTGGGTAACCTCTAGAAAGCTAAATAAATAGTTCACACAGAAGAACCAGCACAGGGCTAATTCCTTCTCAAAAGTGTTTATTATATAAGCAATTTATATTAAACTACTGGATATAAAGTTTACTGCAGAGACCTAGCTGAGCAGACAAACTGAAACCTGAATATTCTTATCCAGAGACATGAATTACTTTTCAAATACAGATTTAGCAGTGGAAGTTATTAAAAAATGGCTTTTATGGGAACAGGTACAGGCACACGTGTTTCTAGCTACAAGCACTGGATCATTGCAGAGTCATTTATGTTGTCACCACAGGGATATTATCTAACATGAGTCTGAAGAAGGAATTGGTCCCCGTGAATGGGGAGAAAGGTGGACTGGGAAACACACAATGAATATTACACTCAGATATTCCCTGAATTCTTGTGCCAAACATGCCATTCTGGTTTGAAGACACTTACTTTTTCATTTGTGGGACTTTCATTTCTCCCATCTCCTTCACAAGGTGTTTTATGTCATCTTCAACTTCTCTCAGCTCTTCGTTTCGCTTCCTCAGAGTGAGGTTGTCCTCTAGCCACCTCTCCTGGATCTACCTCCACAGACAGCAACAAGTTGGAGCATGTTTCAGTACACTGATCCTCCACCACAAAGCATTAGTTCTGCACAACTCTCAAGCAGAAAATAACTGACAAGAATGAAAATCATCACGGTGAGAACTTCTCTTCTGCTAGACGTGGGGTATAATGAAATCAGCAGTATTGATTCATATTTCAGTCAGAAATAACACAGTATTTCTCATCACAGGCAAACACAAGGGGGATCCTGTGTGTGACAATGAATCAGTGCTCCAAATTGGGTGGGTAATTTAAGGTTGAGATTTAGCAAAGTCCCCTCCCCTCTCAGATCTCAAAGCTGGACAGTAAGTGGTGGGGTAGAATGGGTGCACACCTTCCCTCTAAAGAATGTCAACACTATTGGAAATATACAGAAGAATACACAAGAATTTAAAGTACATGATCAATCTGGAGTAACTAGCAACTTCTGTTTCAGACAGCTGTGTTCTCCACAAAAAGATGCTTTTGAAAATCCTGGCTACTACCCCAACACACTTAACTCTTTTGGAAATACCACAAAAATAGAGATAAGAGGGTTTTTAAAATGCATCTGCTTTTCCATATACAAAATTCTGAGCAAATTTTTCAGCCTCGTGTATGGACAGCAGCTATTCTGACTAGCAGCTGATTAAATAAACCAGAAGGAGGCAAACTTTGCACCACTATGGATCTAGGCAGTCTTAAACCCAACCCAGAAATTGTTTCAACTATGCAGAACATACTTCACTGTAACACAACACATCTACCTTTTGAGTGTCAATATCTTGTCGAATGGTTTCCATCTCTTTACTTATCTTTTCCTTCTGTTTCTCACAGGCAGCTAACTGGGAGTTGACCTCATCCAGTTCAGATTCCTTTTGCTGAAGAAATAGAAGAGTACATGATTTAAACACAGGAGTGCTTTTAGTGTCCATTTTTTTTTTTCCTGACTGTTTCTTAGATTACCTTTTTATAGTCATCTTTTCTTTGCTGAATATAGTTTTCAATTTCTTTCATGTACTTGTTTATATCCTTAACTTTCTCTTTGATGCCATTTATCTGCAAGGAAAACATTTCAAATTAAGTAAGGTCTTATGTCCCAGAACTAACACACCCTCTCTCAAAGATTAGATACTGGATAACACTATTGTCAAAGAACAATCCCTTAGAATAAGTGCCTTTAATTTACCAATAAAGCCTTCAGCTTTTGAAATCCAGATGCTCCTTTTTACTACAAAAATATTTTCCAAAACAAATGGTCAATCACTCATTTGTCCTTACACACCAGGGTCACTCCACCCAAGGAAACAGGTCTGTCTCCTGGCCAGGTTACATTCCATCTTTCCATCTCTCTTAGATCTGCTGGGAAGGGTTTTTAATACCACTGGTCACTAAATATCACCAAATATAATTAATCTTTGACAGTCTTGTCAACGGGGAGAATTGAGTTCATCTCCTGACTAGGTTAGGTTCCTTTTCTTCCCTAAAGGTTGCACCAGTCTGAAGCATTTGCTGAAGTCACTGCTGTTCCCTGAAAGCAAACTCACTGCCACAGCCTCCACCCACGCCTGAAGGAAGATCTATAATCCTACCCCCCAGCTACACCCAAAGCAAACAAACCTTCTCTTGTGTTTCTTTATGACTTGCAGCCCTTTTATTCACCAGATCCTCCTTCTCCTCCTGCAGCTTTTGTAAAGTTGCATCCAAAGGAAATACCTGTTCTTTTGCTTCCTGAAAAGCAGTTGAAGAAAGCCCTTTTTATTTTCTCATTCCCTTTAAGATCAATTTTTCAAGTGGTAAAAAAAAGCCACATGATATATGTATTAAAGTTCTGGATATTCCCAATGCAATACCAGAACAGGACAAACATTTCAATATTTTCTAGGATTACAGAATAGAACAAATTGGGGTTTATTTCCCCAGGACAACAAAGCTAAAGGTTAACAATCAGAAGCATTTCCTACCCTGATCTCTCTGCACAAGGACTGAACCTCAGTGGTTAACTCCACTGTCTGTTCCTCCAGCTGCCTCCGACGCTGCATGCTGCTGGAAATCTGCAGCCTCTCTGCTTTAAGCTCATTCACTGCACTCTTCAGCTGCTGAATCTGATTTTGCTGGTCTTGCTTGTGTTTTTGATGGAGTTCAATTTTACCAGTCACTGCAGATGAAAACCAACTCAGAGTGAAACAGTCCATCTGTTATTAAACACGTTTATTGCCTTCCTAAATTAATTCTAATTCTAAATCAATGACCCCCCCTAAAATATAGGTAAACTTTCATTTATCTATAAGGGCAGCAAGTCAATATAAAGATGAAATACCATCTTCCTATGACCTACCTGTATCCCACAGGTGTTTTTTCTCTTGTTTTTCATGGCTTACTTGTAGAACAGTTCTACTTAAATCAACTCCTAGGAGCTTTGCCTCCTGCTGAGCAATTTTTCGTTCAACATCTCTAATGTCAGTCTGAAAGTATAAGGAAAAGTACTTTTACTACTGTACTAGTGTTGAAAAATGTATTTTTTATCTTTGGCACACAAGAACAAGCCAGGGGCTCAAGGCACATGTGACCCAAGACCTTCAAATTTTTCTGCTCTGCTGGAGGAATGCAGCATCACTAGCAGTAAGGTTATGTCAGCCCACAGGCTGCTGGAATTCCCACTCTGTGGTCCTCAAAAGAAGAAAAAAATGAAATAAAGCTTGAAGTTTTATTAGTACTGAGCTCACCTAAGTTATGTTTTCTTCTATACTATTTTTCCTTTGCTGCAAAAGTCTTAACACCTCAAAGTTTTGTTGTATTGTTGAGTAACTACATATTTAAATGCCAGCAAGTATCACCTTCTACATGAAAAGAAACTGCCAAAGCATACCTGGTACCTTTCCATGAGTGTTATATCCTGTAAACATGCCTTGGCACCATCCTCCTCAGACAGAGCTGTCTGCAGGAGGGATTCCTGCTCTTCTATCTCACCCTTCAGGGCTGTCAAATCCCTGTTTGCATTCTGTATCTTGTTCCTCAAGTTTGGTATGTCCTTATCTTGGAGTTCAGTCACAGTTTGCCTGAAAATACAAATCCATGACATTTCCTTTGTCAAAAACAGCAGCACAAGCTCAAGACATTAAAGATCACTAAATCTGTGATATGATTTAATAGTGGAAGACTAAATTTAGCCACAATAGTATCCCCTTAACTTTGCCCACATTCAATTGACCTTAAGTTATACACCCAGCCAGGGCAACAAATCCCTCAGTTTAGACACAGGAGATGAAATGAACCAACCAACAAAATCTCTTTTGGTTTTCAGCTTAATTACAGCAAGAGCTCATGAGAGGGTTTAAATCTGCTGTACAGGAGTGCCCTCTTGTGAAGGAAACTCTACCCTCTAACACAAACTCTCCAAATTCTCTCTGAGCAACAGGCAGCAAATTTCTTGAGGCTGGAGCCTCTTCACCTACTGAGAAAAACTGATACTCTGCTCTTACTTTAAATGCTGTTTATATGCTAAAAAAAAATTAATCAAAAAGCTCTTTAGGGCCAGTGTTGGTTGTTTATGTTTAGGGAGGCAATAACCACACAGCCTGTCTAGTATTTTCATAGCCTTAAAAATACAGACTAACTCAGCCTGGAAATTAGAAAATACTATAGGCACCTTTTCTGAGTTTAATATTACCTACACTTTGTATTAACCTGCAATTAAAAAAAAAACAAACAAAAACAAACCAAAACCACAACATAATAGTGTAAACACAACATAATAGTGTAAATAATCTGTAAAAAGTAAATATATAACCACTTTTTCTGCCTCACTCTTACAAGAAGCCCTAAAAAGGGCCAGAAATATCAAAAATAGAAACCAGTTTAATAGTGAAGTTGAAATGAACAAAGAACAGATGCTAACAAAGTATTTGCCTCAAAATGAGATTTTTAAAATTAACTAGCCCTAAAATAAAGCCTCCTTGCTAATTGCATAATTTTTAATAATAAAAAACCCAAGCATTTGAAAGAAAACAGCTTGTAACAACAGGGGTTTGCTGAATACTTCACCTGAGTGGTTTAAGACTCATCATTTCATCACGTTTCTTCTCTTTCCTCTTAAGCTCAACCTCTGTAGACTTGAGTTTGTCTGGAGCAAGTCTCAGCTTGGACTGCAGGTCACTGATCACATCCTGCAGCTCAGCCTCTGTCTGGAAAACTCTCTGGCAAACTGGACAACAGGACTGGTTCTCCTCTGTCAGCTGTGTAATGAACTGGGAATACACTGCAGTGGCTCCAGCAAGCACAGCTGGTTTAAAAAAGAAAGAAAAGGCTTTCTGTTGAATAAAAAGAGCATGACCAGACCTGAACTAGGTACCTGTTCACCATAAAGGAGGACAAATTATAACCCACTAAATTACAAAGGTTGGAAATCAGAATCCCAGCATGGTGGGGTTAGAAGGGACCTCTGGAGATCATCTGGTCTAACCCCCCTGCTCCAGCAGCTCACCCACAGCAGGGTGCCCAGGGTCACATCCAGGCAGGTTTGGAATCTCTCCAGAGCAGGAG